ATAAATTATTTGTTGGTTTTCAAGTTTCCTGTTTTCTGATTAAATTTATACTTTACTGCGTTGTTGTGCCAAATTATTGTTTTGCTTTTACGGTATCTCGACAATTAAAGCAATGATCAGAAGACTTTGGTGTGAAAGAGATGATCGATCTAATATCATTTGACATTGTGAACAGGGAATGACTGTTTGTACAATTGAACGAAACAGATGGAAGAACGGATGGATGATGTTTTGAACTGAAAAGAACGTACCTTCCTCAGCTTCAGTTCGATAATCACGACCTCGAAAAGCTGGATTGTCAAAATTTGTTCGTTCATGCCATCGTCACTCTAAACGAGGACGACTTTTCTCATTTCCATAGCTTGGTACGACCCAACCTTACACCTACTAGAAACAGCCGTTGTACTTGTTCTTTTACAAATTATCGGACCGAAATAGGATCGTGCTGAAAGAAGATATCAGAACAAGGCAGTCCTTTAATAAAATAATGCAGACGAGACCTGAGCATCAAACGGCCAGCTTTCTTTTACAAGGTAGATTTGCAATCGATTCAGAGCAGAACTTAAAGCATTGGCTTACTTGCTTGAATAACTGCTGGATCTGGCTAAAGTATAACCTAATGATAAGGCTCAAGTGTAGGCTAAATATAATCTGTCGTAATTTCAAATCGAAACCATGAAACGGTATCAGCTATCGGCACAAATTTTAAAAGCGTTGCTTGAAGCGACCGTCTGGTGCAGCAACTGTACACGCACGGTTATTTTTTGTATTCGCAAGTGGTTTCAGCACTTGGCGTGCACAGCTACAAACTTCAGCTTGGTGTTGCGTTACGAGCGGCGGGGGGGATGTAAATAGTGGCTGCAACGCGTCATGGTGAAGAAGAAAACCAAACATCTGGCAGTATTTATGTTTTTAGAAATTCTTTTACAGTTCAACCGCCAAACACGTACTACGATCACGTGCAAAACGAACGTTTCGGTTGTACATTAGTTTACACATATGTCATACGTGGACGATAGTCCATGACGAAATAAACTACTACAATCGTTTAGCAACTGCGTACTTCAATATCTGATGCTGTTTTGCATCGAAAACAACAAACTAGTGCAAAATACAAAATGGAACAGTCCGTCGCAACGAACGAGTGAAAGGGCGCGGTGGTCGTGATGGCCGTCGACGAACGCACCGCGTGCAATGAAGGGAACGCAACGGTTTCGTTGCACCGCCGGTAGACGATATGGGCTTGGAGGTACGTGCCGAAAAACTGGGTGTACTGCTTCGTCAGGCCGACGTTCCCGCCTTCGTACGCACGCTGACCATCTGGCAATGTACAAATGACATAGGGAGAAAATGTTACGACGAGGAGGCATGCGAGGCGATCTTCGGCCGTTGGCCAGCCGTTCGTTAGTTGACTGACCTCGACCACGAGTAGGAAGTGCGGTGGTCGCTGTTAAAAGCGTTCTCGTCCGTCAAAGCAGAAGGTCGCTCGCTCAAGCGAAAGCCATTCCTCCACCAACCAGTCAACTAGTACACCCAGGACACGGGCACCCACTGCGGACAGATGTGCAGCTTCTCCATAAGCGTCTCCAAGTGCTTAATCGTCTCGTCGATGTCGTTGTTGACGATGATGTAATCGAAGTAGTGTCCGAACGCCTGTCGCAGCAGTTCGCTCTCGCGTAGAAGCCGTTCCAAACTACCGTCCGGCTAAACGTGAACCGAGTGACAACAAACGCAGCAACAAACGGTTTAAAGTTTACACGTTTCACAAACAGCGAATCTGCGCATCTGCTCGTACTGATGAACACAAGGCGTAAACGACTTACTCCGCATATACATTTTATTAAACAAAACCCTGACTTTTCGAACAGAGCTGCTTCATCTTAAAAAGACCTAAATTAACAGCTGCGAAATTGCTGACACGGTTTTTGCGTTTGTTGTTCCATAAAGTTCCCTGATTTTGGATTCGGTTCGAACGGAAACGCCGTGATTTTTAAGTAAGATGTACAAGTGGAACAAACCCTTTGAAGGGTTGGCGACAGAGAACTTTCTACCGGCGTAAAAAATTCAAGTTTGTTTTCTTTGAAATTGCTTCTAACTGTGATAATTATTGTCCCCCAGCCCGGTTGAGTCATCCTCGTTCTGTAGTCGTACAGTGCCTTCAGGTTGTAACGTACACCGCATCCTCAGCTGCCTAAAACGTTTGCTACCAGCTACCTGTTAAAGCACTGTGCGGTAAGCCAATCCTGCCCGAATACAAAGCTCCGTCTCTAGCTCGCCCACGGTTGCTGCGTGCCGGCCTCCTGATCGACTCAGGCGTGACTGTGTTTCTACATGAGTGAAACAAACTTGCGGGTTAGAGTGAACGGTTTATCCTCAACCAGTTCGTATTACAGTGCAAACGTCCTATTCGCAATGTTTAAATCTACGGAGAACATTTGTGCTCGTAAATAAACAGTCGTTGCCCGGTCCAGTCATATTTAACCCTCGCTATGCGCCTATGCCACCGCTGTTGCACGCGGTTCGACCGTAGATATTGGTCTTCCACTAGAACAGCTGTTTTCGAGCTGTAAAACAACGCTGGTCTTAAGGACAGAACTGAACTGTCTGTAAAATGCCATGATACAATTGCTGCAACTACTGGAATGCGAATAGGAATAGCCATTTTCTGCATTATCTTTAAATCTACTGAGAACAGCTGTGTCTGGAAGTAAATCGAATTTTCCCTAAATGATATCGCTGCTGAATCCTCCTTACGTGTCAAACCTAGAGCTGATGTACGATGCACTGTAAAAGATCGCGCAAGACTAATGGACACAGAAACTTAAACAGCAATACTTACGTCTTTTAAGCCTTGCAAATCAGGAGCAGCAATAAAAACCACGAAAGGTGAATACTCCGCTGTCCGTAAAACTTTCAGAGCCTAAAACTGTCAAGCATAACGAAATCATAAGCAAATTTATAATAAATTCGTGCGTCCCAACGAAACGTCCAGCCAATGATGAAAGCATACTCAACATAAATAATAAGTTCATAAAAAGTAACATAGCTGATCGCTGAAGCTACGCACTAAACGGGTCGCTTCGAAGTGGCTCCCTTATAAAAGATCCACTGATAATTACGTACTAAGTGAACGATGACATTAATTCCTCATCGAGAAGTAACGTGCTCTAAACATACGTGTACATGGCATAAAACGATTATTCGTGCAAACAGGCTCAGTGATGCACCTGGTTTCTACGATCTATAAAATGAGTTGGCCGCTTACTGTATGTTCTTACGGAATGTGAAATACGTGCTTTAAGTTTCACCTAGAATTTTGCTTCAGACATCGATGATCATGCTAAAAACCAGAATAAAACGCTGTTTTAATTCATTTCGTCCTATTCACAGCATTTCAAAAACTACAGATGATAGAGGCAACGCAGTGGTTACGAATAAGCATGATCACGCTATAAAATATACTGAAATACACAGCTCCGCTTAGCCTCCCCTTGACGTCGACCCTACATAGTTCCTTTTAAATTCCAGGCTCTTCTACTATTACAGGGACTCGAAGTGATTCAGTTTTATAGAAATACCTTTTAAATTCAATTTTAACCATTTGGTAGCGTACTTTCATTGTGTACTTAAAGCACATAGTACACAAATTTACTCTTCGATTACGGTGTTTCGCCTCTATGATGAATTGCTTCATGTTGCGCACATCCTTAACAGGGAGAAACCCATCATACACAAAATTTAACACAAGTTCTGCAACCAAACGAAACAAACATCATGGTGAGTTATGACGCCAAAGACTTGTTGCTCGTATCTGCATAAAGGCTGCCAATAAAATTATCCGCTAATTTCATTTAAACATAATTCACTAAAACTATTTAATAACTTGACAATTAATTCACCCTTTTGAAAGAGGCCAAAATACTTGTTAAATCATATGGTGCATTTTCGGAAGAAGTTTCAAATGGAGTGAGGCTATGGTTTAACTGAAATTTCAAAACGACACGATTAGAAATGGAAACATATTGTCTAATAACAGCTATTCAATGAATATAGTGACGCACGCGAAAAGCACTTGTTTAGTGAGAAGAAATGGACGGAACTGCCCCCCCCCAGACACCACCATCCCACCCGAAGACTTTTACTGCATACGCAGATTCTCAGCCGCAGCTTGGACCCAACATCTCAGCCACCAGACTCTAGTGCAAATCTAGTTGCGACAGGTAGCGATTTTCTAATCACACAGCGTATGTTGCTTGACTAAATAAGTCGGATACGTAGCGAGTGCATTAAGTGTATCGAGACTTCGTCGCACACTGTAAATAAGAATAAACGAGAAAAATTCTCCTTGTCCGCTCACAAGCACCGGAATCACCCACTTCGGTAGCCCAGTCACATCCTAGACAGTCGTGTTTTAGGCCTGAAACAATTCCTGCATCACCCAGCCTTTCTGAACCTTTTCACAGGCTCGTATGATGACGGGAAGAGCATGGCACATGTTCGATGAACTCAGCAAGTACTTCGCTGAGTTAGGTAGCAAACCACATAACAACCTTCAGTCCCATTCTTTTATTCAATACTCCTAGCTAGAGCTCTCCAGTACATTCTTCCGTGCAGACATCTAAACCATCTGCACCCACACAGCCGAACAAAACTGGATCCACCTCAGAGCCCAAGCAATGAATCCGATTCCAATAAAGCTCGTCATTCAACCGGGAGAGATGGGCTAATACACAAAGCTGGCTCATTACTGCAAGTGACTGATCAACATGAGATCCAAAATCGTAGCAGATCTTATTCAAGATTGCACAGCGGTCGCGCACCCGCCAATCCGTCAAAATAAAACGGAGTTCCCAAATTCTTCTTATGCGGGAAAAGCCAAGTTGCGATAGACAGGTTGGAGGAAAACATAAAACGTGGAAACATCTCGCTGAGCTAAATTTTCTGGCGTCGAGAAATATCAACTGTGCTGCAGCAATGAACGCTGCCTAGTATCAATCTGAGGTACCGTTTCTAACGGTCAAACGATATAAATTCGGGCTACTCTGCTGTTTAAGCTCGGTTAGCAACTGATGACCATTACAAAACAACAACAATCTGTCTTAAATTAATTTAAACCACAAATTAAAATAGAACAAGTATTTCAGCAGAGTTTAAGTTCAGACCGGTGCCTGGTTCCGCTTGAAACTTCTGCAGAAGACATAATATAATATTTAATCACCTGCTGTGAAATTCTGCCAACAAACTGAAAATGAGAAGACTCAGGTAATGTTAAACAAATATGCGACCCGTGACCTGTTGAAGTCCGTGGATATAGGCTTGAACAGGTGTAAAACGATGTGTTAGGAACAGTTTGTCTGTGAAACGACAAACTGAACATGTAAAATCACCAGAAGAATAAAAATGTCGTGCAGCACACGTTGGAAGTCGGAAAATTGCCCTTGTGCTTGAAACGCAAGGAATGCGATAAATGTGTAATCGCACTGCTAACATACGGATGCGAAAGGTGAAGTTAAAAAACACCTATTGATAAAGCGCAGACTACGCAACTCAACATGGAAAGGTGTGTGTTGGGAATAACGAGAAAAAATAGGAAGACGAACAGAGATGTAATGGAGTACAAACGGGCTCCAATGTCAGTGTTCGAACGAAGTAGTAAAAATGCAATTGGCAGCACACGCTGCAATAAGAAACGACTGTCGCTGAACCAGAGAGACATTAGACTGAATTGTTGGAGAGAGTATACCTTTCCCAGGAAGAACTCCAGATCGATGGCAGGATGAGCTGAAAAAGTTCGCTTGATTAAGTTGGATATGAATGGCAGGAAACAGATGTCTATGTCAAAGTCTTGGATAAGTCTCTGTTCAACAGTGGAACGAAAAAAGCAGATGATGATTGATATTAAACTAGCCTATCGCAATCGTGCAAATACAGAGATATATAAAAATAGTTGTCTTCTTAAATATAACATGCGGTATCCCAAAACGTATCAAAAAGAAATATGAAAATCTATGGAAAGAACCCAGAGAGTACGCCATATCATAAAGTTGGTCTGCTACTTCGATATGTAAATTCTCGCGGGTCTGGCTAGACTGAACCACGGTCATGCAGTCCGTGCATTCGCACTAAACAATTTAAATATACACAAAATACATTGAACTTCAATAAATTTCAATGAACTTTAAATCAAACCCTAACTCTGTTATGGAAAACACGTATAACTGCCAAGAAATAACGAGTATTTGAAAATCAAACAATAAGCTTTCAGACACAATCAATAAGTCTGGAACATCAACAGTCGAAATACGTCTTGGATAACTACCACATTTATGATCAAGACAGGTTTCGAGTGTACATTGTTTCAAAATCTATCCATAGGTTACCACGTGCGTATAGGCTAACGAAACAAAACAAAACAAAAATAAATAACTGTGAACGAAACAGCAGCAACTTTAACGAACCTGTGGTTCAACGTCCAGAATGGCGATTTTGCCCAATCGATGAATGTTGCGTATCGTTTCTAGTTTAGTGCCGTACATGTACTCTTCGTGAGTTCCGTATTCCAGATACTCGTTCTTCTGAATATCGGTGAGCATTATTTCGTAGCTGACAAAGTAATAATGCTTTCCGTCGATTTCGTCTTGCCTAGGAGGTCTGGTGGTATCTAAAAGTTTAACGATTGCTTTTCGTTAAAACAAAGAATGACACTACTGCCATTTAAGTCAGGGGCGAAGACAATTCGTTCATTTTGGAAAGAACGTGCAAATGAGTTTGTACATGTTATCTTACGGTAAAAGTCAAGAACTCGTTTTCGATGCATGGAAGCACGAAAGGAAAGTTACGAAATTAAGAAGTTCGCTAAGAGTCTGGCGGGACTTGGGTTTCCTGTGTCAATACGTAGATTATCTGAGGAAATGAGATGTCGCGTAAGAGGCTTCGACCGAAATAAGCCTGTACACAGGAAGTACCGACTATGTCTTTGTTTTCCTTCCTCGGAGGATTACAGAACACTATCAGAAACAAGACAACCGCTTTGGCACGTATCTCAAACTGACAACTGTACGGTAAGCACGGGGCTAAACTGCAATCACTTACAGTGCAACAGGTAGGTCGCCATCACGTCAGAAGAACCATCTTTAACGTCGGGCTGAGAATGTCCAGGATCTTCTCAACAGCAGTTTTGCACATTTAGCTCATGCAGCCTAATTCCTCAGAGAGGATGGTTTATGCAGACTGGCAAAAGAAATTGGGAACCG